GCTTGAGCGACTTTGATGACGTCATTACTGGACTAGTCCCCTCAGCGCACTGGGAGTGTGGTTAGGCCCGCCCCTTTAGTGTCCTTCCACCAGTGAAGTTCTGTGACGTCATCAAGTCCGCATCACCCTTCACCCTTCGTAATCGCGCTTCTATTCCCTCAGCATTCACAAAATAGTGGCGTATGTATTCTGTTAGAATTTCGTAATAGGTGTTTTCTCTGGATGTTCAACTCACAACTGAACTTGCCAGTAAAATAGAATCAAACTCAGGTATAATTATTTTTCTTTAAGATTGCATTAGAGTTTCCCATTGGTGCATTAGAGTAGAGATAAGCGTAAACCCAATCACTCACCATCACAGCATTTGTTACACCAATTCTGGTAGAGTGCACAGTCGACTTTAGAACATCCGGTGGCGTTCGGTGTGTACGTGTGATTCAATCCACATGGCCATGACGGAAAATAATCCGGAAATGAGCACAAGTGAATTCATGAAGTCTACTATCTCATAGTAAAACGATTCTATGTACAGAACCGTTGTAGAGGGTTATGTGACCACACAAACTTACCTCTGTGTTCTCTGAAAAGAAGGCCTGAGCGCAAACGGTAAAGGGACTGCCGTAGCTCCTGGGTACCAAACGGTAGGGTGAGCCAGTGGAAACGAAGGCATCAGGGGCGTGGGGGGGAGGGGCAAGGGTTGATCCACTTTCGCTGTTGCAAAGCTTGAAGCGAGGTATTGTGATCATGAATCGCTATTTATGCGAGAGAGCGCAGACGAGAGCTGCCCAGTGACATTTTTTGAAGGACCGAGTTCAAATAGCCTATAGGCGATTCCTGAAGAGCCACCATAACCCTCGCTGACGATGGGGCGCGCAATGTCACATGTCAACGATTTACGACATGCCCTCTTGTCGTTTTCTCAGTGAGGCGAAAGCTGCTTGTATTTTTGGAGACTGCCTAGGGTGGCTATGAGGTTTAGGGTAAGCCGCGCTTAGGTCGAACGCCGTTTTCACCTTTCGTGATGGATTCCGTTCTCCCATGTTACCCGCAGCTCGCGAGAAATCTGAGTGAAAATGCTGACTATGAGTAAAACACTCGCCTCAGGGACTCGAACTCGCAACTCTTGCTTGTCGGTCAATTGCGCCATTGCACCACTAAGTCACCTCATCCTAACCCAGCTTTCAATGGTATGTCCACCTTGGTTTATCAGTATTCACTCGTCTAATCCGATGAGCCGATTAGGCTGACATTGGCGGAGTGCCGAAAGGTGTTCAAGCAGATGACACAATTTTTGGCTCTCTTCGGAATACCAACTTCTGTTTCTGGGCGCAGTTCGTTATGCGAAAGGTAGTAATCAGTAAAAATGATTCAAAAATTGCAGTAACCATTTTCATTAGTTGTTTTTTCGAAAGCAGTACAGAAAAACTTACCACCATCTCTGTGTTCTCGTATCTATAGCCTTTGTTCAATTCCAGTGTAGTGTCGTATGTATCGTTGTCCATTTTGAACCTCATCGCTCCTATTCCATTTATGGTCACATCAGAGTCGTAGTGGAGATAGAAAGACCTTAAATCAGCTAGATTCGTTTTACATTTTTCATGTGATTTGTGATTGCAGAAGTTCAATATTTTAATCGTTTCCATATGCTCAAATTCAGCACCAGCCAGTGGAGTGTCATAAGGGAGAGCATCGTCAACGAATGGAAAGATCATTCCGGAGACAATCTACCAGGGTCAACCGTCTGTGGGTAACTTAGGCTTAGAGAATCTACCAGGGGCGATCGTCACTTTATAATTTGCCAAATAGGATTCGTATTCGATGCACGGAAGGGACGGGGGCTCTGGGGCTGAAAAAGGGTTCAGAGAAAGAGGCTAGAGGAAAAACGAATCTTAAGAAGCGCAGATCGCATTTTTCATTTTGTAGGACTTAAGTAAGATGGTTGCAAGGAGGGTGGCTAACACGTTAAGTAAATGAAAATTATATGTAGCTACTATCATGGTTATGGCTTGGGTGTCCAACTTAGCACAGCTAGGAACAGACCAGCTGCTTGGTGCAGGCTAGCACAAACAGGAAAAGGCTTTCAATCGCTTCTATGCTTTTCAACTACAGACAGGTACGCGGCGCATCTGGGAGCAGGAATTACTTGAGCTATTTCCCAGAGGTCCAGTTCACTGTGAACAGAACAATGTTTCGGAGGAGCCTGCTGATCTAGGGCTAAGCTGTGTTCCAATGAAGAGTAATAATATGGAACGATCAACTTCACGAAGCTCAAAATTTCTTTTTTTCACAAAGGAACATTTGAACAGCTGACTTTCCAAGAAAAGTTTGATACTGGTCTCGTGACAACACAATTAAGAATCTTAAAGTTTCTGAAGGGGCGGAAGTGGTGTAGTGGCAAGTGGCACGCTTACCACGCGAGCGGTCCGGGGATCAAATCCTGGGTCGTGAGTCGCCCGGGCCAACCAAGCCTTCCATCCCTCCGGGGTCGGTTAATTGGTACCAGACTTGTCTGGGAGGATAAAAAACACTGACTTGTACATCGGCTGGCCCCGCAAGTCATTGGCCACATCGCATTCAAACGCCACTACGAATGTACAAATGGAAGTAGAATGCGTGCCGCATCCCAAAAAGGGATTGATCAACGGCAAATGCTTTATCCTTTATCCTTTAGTTTCTGTACGCTTTGTCTGAAGTGTATGATTCGTCTTCTAGCAGAAGGAGTTGTGAGTACTAGGTGATTTTGGTAACCTTTTAGAAAAATAGGAAAAAAACTTCTTAGACCTCAAATGTGGTTGATTAATGGTGACATATAGGTGGCACACTTCCATCCCACCCCTTAATCTCCAAAAAAACCTGGCTTGCCTGCGGGGTTCCTATCATTTGTTTGGTCATCGTTATTTTCTTACAATTCACTGTCACGCTGACCCCGCTTACGAACCATGGCCTCTACCCTGGCCTGGAACACGCAAATACAGCCTCTAACTTCTGAAAGCGTCACGCCCATTCTTAGCAAAGCCTGCTGCTTCCCTCCCACTTATGAACCCACAAAAAGGCTCTTCTAGACATTTATTCAACACAGACCTGACTCTGCCATGATCTCTTAGTTGCAGTAGTGCTCTGATTGTGAGCGCTTGAGATACTCAACTTTGAGGAAATCGTCCACGGAAAGACCAGAATCCTATCGCACCCATAAACTAGCTCAAGACCCATCGTTCACGATACGATCGGAAAGAACAGAGAAAAATTATGTTTCTAAACAGCTTGAGAAACCGGAAGAACGGTTACGTGTTCAAATTCCCGCCGTACTTCTGTCACAAATGTTCGCGACCGAGATGAACTCACATGGTGCTCGGAGTGCCTTCACTAAGAACTAACTCTCCCACCTATGACATTAACATTTCGTTCTTCTACTGCATAGTGTTCTATCGACCATTTTGTCTCTATTCTCAAAAATCGAACGCTTTAACCCGATTCTTTCAATGCGTCGCCTGATACGTGGCCGCCCCAAGGCGCACTTCTTTCCATGCCCGCCTTGGCTCCGCGCGACCTACCTTCGACCGTCCATAGAGTGTGGTTTTTAAGTTTGTTTTTCTCTTCGGAAACCGAATCTTCATGCGTGAAACTTTGTGTGCTGTTTCCAGTGATCACAACTGACATATTCATGTTGGGAAAGAATGCAAGAATCTTCCGTGGACGGTTCCTCTAAGAAGACCTAGGAAAGTAGGGACATAGGATTGGAACTCTGACGTTTGTGGGATATTATTGGGACGGTTCTGCATGTAAAGGGGAAGACCGCAGTGTAGGAGGGAAACACCGAAACGTAGATTTTAAGCTGAAATTAAAAGAATGTTGTACCTTTGAGTACTACCCACCTACACATGAAAGACTGGAACTGCTTTCAATTTGTCCGTCCTCTTCAACACTGGCTTTTGGAAAGTTCCATCCGAAAAATACATAAATAAACAGATTGTTCACGTTTACGAAAACTATAAGTCACACCTCCGCTTTGTGTTATATCGCTAGAGTACGCGTCTCCCCACCACGGTAAATTCGTCATATTGGCCCATCGTTGGATTAGTGCCAAACTGAAGGATCATCAAGATGGATATTATTGAGGAAAGCACATTAATTTAAACTGAC